AAACCCTCCCTCTCCCTCCTCCTCCCCCTCCTCCTCCTCCCCCTTCTCTCCTCTCTGTCTCCCCTCCTCGTTTCTCCTCTCCTTCTTTCCATCTCCTCTAACAAACCCATAGCAGAGTCCCTCTGTTCTTCCACCCTGAGGCTGACCAGTGTGTCAGAGCTAACCAGGGAGAGGAACAGAGAGAGAGGGAGAGACAGAGATAGCGGGAGAGAGGCAAGTAGAGAGAAAGGAAGAGAGAGAGAGAGGGTTCAGTTGGGCCTTTTTCAGGGGCAACCGAAAAAAAAGGAAGATGAGACAGATGTACAGAGCCTGTTTCATCTAGTGGAAAAAGAAAGCGGGAGAGGCCAGACTCTTCATGCCTCTCATATTTTTCTATCTTTTTATATCGTGACCCATCACTCTTTCCTTCTTTAGACAACACTGGAGACATAATGTTGCCTGAATGTCAGGCTGCCCCCCTTCCTCCCTCTACCCCAGTCACTCTGCAGAATTTCAAAACATAGTCGGTACTACTGTATATTCCTCACACTGTTTCCTTTTCACTCCCGTCAGTGGCCCACTAACCTTGGTTCCACAACTACACTAGTTCTGCTGACGGGCCTCGTCCTATAGATTACTAACCTTGTTGCAAACTTGCATCAGTGTGGACCCGGCAGTCCTGTTTGAGAGGAAACATCCATATATACTGATCTCTTACCAACACCTGAAACTAATCAAATTCTGAGTCTTGGACTCTTTTGAAATATGCTTCTGATGTTGTTTAGTTTGATCCATATAATATTTAGTTGTGCCAGAAACCAGAACACACACACCAGCAGATAGAACTGAGCCTAATGTCGCATCATGTTTGTAACTACAAGTATTGACTTTATTTTTATGACTTTCCACATTTAAAAAAAAACCCTATCCTTATCCTAATTATGATCATACTTAGCAAGGATTTTTTTTTTTGAAGAGACACAGACATAAGAACAAGGAGACAAAAAGTATAAACCACAGACAAATAAAACAAGTGAGTTTAAATCTGCTATAATCAATACTTGTATATCAAGGAATGATCAAATCCGTAATTGGAAGTGGGTCATGTAGTGATAAATCTTCAGCTCTATGAAGCATGTTAGTATCATTGTTTGTTTTTTATTGTTCCCAACTGTTGTGGTTCCCTCTCACCGCTCTCATCTCATTTCCAGATGCAGCAGGCAGCTTCATCAGCCCAAAAAAACCCACCCCAGCAACAAACGACAGACAGTTAGCAACTAGCTTGTGAAGAAAGCGGAACATTTAGCAGCCAAATAGCCATGTACTTTGCTCAGGAGTTGAAAGGAAGTAAATATTGGACTTAGATTGACCAAATAGCCAGAAACATGACTCTAAATGAATGCTAATGTTGCTCGGCTGGATGTGTAAATAAGCAACTGGGAGCTAACAAGTTCACCGTATCAACTTGGTGGTGATAATATTTCAATTTGTGTCCACAGCTTGCTCCCAAGTAGCCAAAAAAGTCACATATTGCAGCTTTGACAATTTAACTTTCTGTGATTTTGTTTGTTGTTTTTAAAGTTGAGCAGCATTAACAGCAAATGCACAATCACCTTTAAGCCTTGACCTTACATAAGTGTGTGAGTGCTTTTTACTGTCCTAAAAACACAGGAAAGACTGTCCCTACAACCAGCACACTCTTTCAAACTGAATTATCAAAAGCCTCTGAGTCATCAACACACCAGAGGTTTAATAAAACCAGTGTAGGCTTACACTCACAACATGTGGAGGAGCACAACTGAGGCTTCCTTTGAGCGGTGAAGGTGCTATTGTGTATATTTACCATTGTCACTGGTAACTGTGTGATCCATCATCCACCCTGGGTTTCATAGGTGGCCTTTTGTGGGATAGAGGTCCTTTGTTTGGACTGTTGTGCCCACAGTCGATCTGCAAAATAAAATGCATTTGTGTTTTTGTCTGTGCACATCTCGGGTGCTACATCACTACCACAACATCTTTAGTAAACAAAGTGCATTCTGTCTTTCAGCTCGGTGAGATGTGTGTTAGTGTGCCTATATTGATTCAGTCAATATCTATGGGCTCCATGTCTTATTTTGTGTGCTGCTTCTCACTGTGTGTGTGTACGTGTGTGTCTGCTACCTGAATACCTGTGTATTTGTGGCATATCTGCTTGAGACTGTGTGTTTACTGTGCATGTACAATCCATTACAATCTGTGAGCGTCTGTATCTGACAGTCTGTGCATGCATGTGTGTGTAAGAGTGTGTGCGTATGAGGAACAGTATTCCCTGGGCTGCTAGTTATAATGTTTCTGGGGGTGATGGGGGGAACTTGAAAGCCCTGCGCTGCCCAAATCAAAACTAACAAGGAAATGATGGGGGCTCCTTTATCTCCTCTCTGGCCTGGGGGGCCGAGGGGGGCGAGAACGGGAGACTGGGGAGGGAGGGAAGGTGGAGGAGGGAGGGTAGAGCAGGAGGGGAGGAGGAGGGGGGGGGCAGCCTGGCTTCCTCTTTGATTTGTAAAAAATGCATTACCTCCGAAATCAAACGGAAAATTACTGCGCCGAAGCAAAACACACAGAGCAGGAGAGAGGGAGAGAAAAGGAGATGGGTGGGGTGGGAGGGAGGGGGAGAAGACAGTGGATAGGTGTGTGTGAATAGAAAGGAGGTGGGAAAGAGGAAAGGAGGATTCACCTGTATAGATACACTGTTGGATAGGAAAAGGGAGGATGGATATAGATATAGGCGGATGCGTAGGTGGTATGAGAAGTAGCTGGAGAAACCCTGACGGATAGGAGTGCACATCCTCGGAGGAGACGAGCTTATACATGCTGTGGACCACGAGAATATGGCAAATGAAAGAGAAGATACAGTATTGATGACCTGTAGCCCACAGGGAAGAGGAAAACTTATAGATTACTACCTCGAACACAAAGAATATCCTATTTTCTAAAGTCTCATACCAGTGTCTGCTGAGGCCTTCAGTCAGATGTACAGGTTAGATATCCGCATTTTAATAGAAAGACATACGTCTCGAAAGAGAGCCTTCTAATCGTGCAAAGGCCAACGTGTGTTTTTGATATCCTGCTGGTACACTGAATACAAAATGATCTGTTACAGGCTATGTGCAGTATAGTTTTGTGGAGTCCCACGTGAAAATGAGGGGCTTTCTGCGAAGCTACAACTCATAGCGGCTATTTGAACCCTTGTGATAACTTTGTCTCATTATCGGAAAGTGAGTGTAGGCAGAGACACAAGACACAGAGAAAAAGATGAAAAATAAGAAATGATAACATGAATGATAAGAGAAAAAAAAGATATGTGAGTGAGATAGGATGAATGCCAACTCTATATTTGAAGACAGAAGGAGCGGCTTGAAAACAAGAAAGATGAAGAGAGGGAGGAGAGAGTGAGAGGGGCCACAATCCAAAGGCTAGAAGCAGGGTGAAAGCGAGAGATACATAGATAGATAGATGGATAGAGAGTCGGTCAGCGAGTGAAAGAGAGAGAGAGAGAGAGAGAGAGAGAAATGCCTGGAGTTAGCAATAATAATTTATACAAACACACCTTAATAATTCACGTTCCATTTCAATGCTGGAGGGAAAATCCAAAATTCACAGAGCATAATTAAATAGAGGCAGAGAGTGGAGGGAGAGATAGAGAGGCCAGCATTAAAGATACCAGTGTAGCAGCAGGGCATCTCTTCCATCTGAGCTTTGTAAAACAACCCTGATGAAACTGTGATATCCAAACTAGATGCCGTCCCCTCGCTCGACATGGAAACACTGAAATCTCCTTACCTTCTCCTGTCAGCAGATGTCTATATGCATTTATTTAGGATACATTATTAGCTGCGAGTTAATAAAGCAACCTCACTTACACGGGCACACGTTATTGTTTATGATGTGTTCAGATCGCCCGCTCGCATACAAAAAAAGAGCATGAAGCAATGGATAGGAAATCAACAGTTTGTTTAAGGCTTTCATGCACACCTGTGGTGCTTTCATTCAACTGTGTTGGTAAAAATAAAGACATTGACAGTTGAGATATTAAAATGAAAAACTAAAATATCCGTTAGGGTTTAAGAGAGATATTTGAATCACTTCTGACTACTACTACAGCTGTATATTTTACACATTTTTGGGCGTTTGTGATATCAAACATGGCCGTATTTTTTGGATGAGTTCTTCCACCACTGATAATTAAACATTTTACACTCACTTTATACCAATGTACTGGTAGTTTATTTGTGTCAGAAGTACCCAGCCGGCATGAACTAAGACACCAAATATATCGTTATTCAGTGATGAAACATTTGTCAGTAAAGAACAGAGCTTATATTTGCGAAGCTCCTTTGCTGAAACACAACTCAAGTCTTTTATAATCTTCCAACCAGAAAGAAGTCAGTAAAGATTAAAGACAAAGCCCTTTCTCTTCTAGACCATTAAACTTACCATTGTACCTGAACATAACTTTGCACATGGAAATCTTTGGCTTAATGTGCAGTTTTTAATTTTAAAAAACTCCCCCGAGGAATACCCAAGCCATATTATATATTAAAATGTCAAATTTTTAATGTATTACATGGCTCAACTTTAACTTGGGTTTTCAAAAGTCTATTTAATTCCGCTGGTTCATAAATGCACTATAGGGATGTCCACCATGTTGCATCAGACACAGCCTCAGGTGGCCACACAAGATAACATCCATCAAACACCTGATCTCCACCAAAGACATATGAAACATAACCTTGCCATATTTCATATCGATTTAAGGTATGTTTTTGAACTCATTTTGTGCCCTTAGACCCTTATGCAATACTTTCATTTTCAACAAAGTTTACACTCTTCAACTTGCTGAAATAAACATGCTGGGTAGCAGACTCTGGCTTTAGCAACTACTCTTCTATTTTCATTTCATGTTCAAATTCATATGCAAAAAGACAAGTATTGTCATTGTTGACTGACCTTTCCCTCTATGCCATCTCTTTGTTTTGTTTCAGGTGTTGTGGAGGCATGGACTGTAACTGCGTCAGTGATCTGCTGCTCCCCCCGGTGCCTGCACTCTGGACGCCAGGTCAGTCCCACCATCGTGCTCGTGCAATCGGCGTAGATTCTTTGTTGCATCTCTGTGCACATCTCTAAATCTAGACACAGGTCACGTGTGTGAATTGAGTGTAGCCAGACAGCCAAAACAAGCCAATTCAGTTATGATAAAACATAACCACCATCATCAAAATTACAGTGATACATGTTAAATTTCATCTCAAAATTAACCATATGCACCCACATTGGTAAACAAATTCAGTCTCTGGTAGTAATTGGTTGTATGTGTAATGTTTTTACGAGGCTAGTTAGTGCCAGATTCACTTCAGGATGAGTCAAAAAAGCTACTTAACTCCATCTCTGATGTGAATACAGTCGGTTTTTAGAATTCAGGCCCAAGCAGCATCAATCAGATCTCTCCCAGCAAGCTGTCATCATCCCACTGACCAATCTGTTGAGGCTAGAGGGCATTAGCGCAGACTAACATTGCTCAAGGCACGTGCTGTGATATTAAACACATCATCCCTCACCTCCATCACTCATCAGTCATTCAGACAGCGATCCCCCTCGGCAAGCAGCGGGACAAATGACAGGCCCTAACCTCATCCTCCTATCTTTCCTGCTCCCCTCTGCCCAGGGTTCGCCTTCCCGGACTGGGCCTACAAGCCTGAGTCGAGCCCCGGGTCCAGACAGATCCAACTGTGGCACTTCATCCTGGAGCTGCTGCAGAAGGAGGAGTATCAGGGGGTGATTGCCTGGCAGGGGGACTACGGAGAGTTTGTCATCAAGGATCCAGACGAGGTGGCTCGGCTGTGGGGGATAAGGAAATGCAAACCTCACATGAACTATGACAAGCTGAGCAGGGCACTAAGGTATGTGTTTGGTGTGTTGAATGTCAAGCAATAACACTGATAGTATCAGATAAATCAAGATGTTTATCACACCACAGTTTACATAAATTGTTTACTCTTGTTTGACTGAATCCTCACTTACGTCTCTCTTTTTTTATGTTGGTTTAATGGAAAGATAAAGGTGGGGCTTTTCCTGGGGAACGTCAATACCCTCAATTTCTCCTTATCTGTCGACATCCTAATGGAAAGTTCACCATTGAGCTGCCAAATAAAAAATTCAATAGGGATTTCAAAATTAAGCCCCAGTGTGAAATTGCTTGGACTTCTTCTTAAGAGTGGAATAGTGAAACTGCTCGGCACCGAACTTGCCGAAGGTGATTAAAACCCTCCGCCCTCCATACCTTCAGCAGTTTATACCCCCAACCACACACAGTTTTTCTTATGCAAATGCACACTATCCCTACTTGTTCTGCTACCCCACCCCCCCTCCCTCTGCTTTCCTTTGGCCTCTCGTTAATGGGGGCTGTCGTCAGACTCTAATTGTTATGAATTGGCTGGGGCCACAATTAGCCTTCTTAATTAGCCTCACTTAATTGCTCAATTAAGGGCCACGGCACAATTGCCACGCAAAGCAAAACACGTACACATCATTGCACTGGGTGCAGCCACTGTGGATACATGCTGATACTTACACGCTGCTATGTTTGTTGATATAGTGCGTCTGCATAATGAGCCGTTGCTCACCAGTATTTAATGCTGAGGTTGTCCAATGCATTCTGTATTTGGTGCATTTACTGTGGTCACTTTAAAACAAAGAAATCCAAGTGCTCAAAGAAATGCTTTCCGAGATTTAAACTTCTATCTCGCGATAACACATTCACAGGTTTTTCAATTTGCAGAATCCCACTACCCCCCCCCACGCTCCCCGGCGTGAGCACTCAGCTACTTTACCTGAGCCAGATGGCTCCATGTTTTGCCTTTACTGTTGATCATCCTAGCAGACTGTACATTGTGACACCTCAGTGGGTGGCACAGGAAACTGGCATGACGGCGGCTCGACATGCCCAGCGGGAGACACCTGAGGTCGTTACCATGGAGACTTCTCTTGTTGTCCCACCTCGGTGTAAATGTGCTTTGCTGTTGGAAACAGTGACAGCTTCTCAGTGTCATTTACATTTACACATCACCTGGGCTGGATATCATGTTTCAGAGTCCAAACTGCATCTGATGATTCAAATGAAATACCACACCCATCCTACAATTTAGTAAATCTTGTTCACTTTAATCGTGACGCATTTGTGTGTGTTTATCTGAGTAAAATGAGTGTGTTTACTTAGTAGAAATATACTTGGTTTCTCATTTTAAGACACCAGTATTTTACAGGATCATGATAGTATATTTTCATTTTTTTTAATGCCATAATTTATACATTAATATATAATACCCACAATCTACCCACATTATTTTCTGAATTGATGAACGGGGTATTTTCTGTTGTTTTGTTGTAATGTTAACTCTATGTTAAGGCTCTCTGGAGCTCAAAGGAATTTGGCTTTTTGACTTTTTGTCTGTTAACAGCTGAATAAAATTTCCCTTTAAAGAACCATATTGTATTGAATCAAGGCAGCCAGACATGAATTGATTTGAGGAAAGAGGAGATGAATAAAAACAGTGGGAAATCAGCATAGCTCTCGCCCTACAGCGCTGAAGTTGTTTACTTATTCTTTTCGGTTAGCGATGAAACACAAAACCTTGATGTGAGCATTATATTAATCCTTCCCTCCTCTTTTCCTTTTCCCCTTCCTTTTTCCTTTATCCTTTATCCCCTCACTCCATCCCTCCTTCGATATCCTCTCCTCCTCCTTCGCAGGTATTATTACAACAAGCGCATTTTGCACAAAACCAAAGGGAAACGTTTCACCTACAAGTTTAACTTCAGTAAGGTCGTGTTAGTGAACTACCCCATCCTGGACATGGCCAACTCTCCCTTCTTTCTGGCCCAGAACCACTTCAACGGGGGCTCCACTGCACCAGACTGCAGCCCAGAGGTACGAAGGGTAGGATGAAGGGACTGGGAGAGGGTGGGATTGGTAGAGGGATATATTTTGTAAGATAAATATGCAGATAATGAAATGTCAATCACATAGAAAATAAAGTGAAATTTACAGTCTGACACACTGAAATTATAACCATGTTTCTACAGGTTGTCTCTATAGCAGAATACACAGGGAATTTGTAAAAGAGAATACTGGACAAAAATCAAAAAAGGAGGAGAAACAGCAAGACGCAGTGCTCAACTCCTTAATTTTTTATTAATAGTGATTTAATTCAGGTAACTGAAACCCATTTCACTCTAGTGATTTTACTGTTGTATTTCTCAGGCCCCTGCTGTGCGTTCGCTTTTTACAAGAGAATGGGTGGTATTCATCATGTCTATCTTTTATTCACTTTCTAATGGTGGTAGTAATAGAATACTTATTATTTGCCCTGAGAGATTGTAAAAATTTTACAGAGATAAATTGTAAACACACAGCAAGAGGGGAGGCATGAACAAAAACGCCCTGATTTAGTTAACAAATAATGTTATGACTTTACTTGTGGATCTGTAAAAGTGATGAGATATTTAGAGAAAATAAAACAATGAACAAATCAATTTAAATGTTTTAATTTCTACACTACATTATGGACGTACAATGCTGTATTTTTTTTAACTTGGACGTAAGTGCAGATAATTTTATTTTAAAAAACTAGTGTCCTAGAAAGTGCGCGTAAGTTGAAAGTACAGTAAAAGAGAATCATCCATCATTTGTCTATGCTATCCTTAAGATGGGATAAGGAGACACCGACTCTGAAGGAGACGGTGGAGGGGGACGGTTTTAACTTGTCCTTAAAACAAAAGAAGACATTATCCCCTCCTTCTCTCATCCCCGTCTCCGATGGCGTATCCATCTGTCATTGATTGAAAATGAAAGAAATAGAAAGCAAAGGGGTCGCGTCAGATCAGATCAATGGCGGGTCATTAATGCGGTTTGTTAAGCAACACAGATCTCGCAGCTTGGGAGTACAGTCTCGCCTTTCAAACTTGGGGCTGCGGGGTGACAGATACTATTGATCCAAAGTCCTGCTAGGGGAAAAGAATCCCCCCCTTTGTCCCCTTGATTCCTGAGGTTCAACTGTTCCATTTATTTTACCTTGCCTCCTTCTCCTTCACAAATTTTACAAAGAAAAAAAATATATATATGTGCACGTACCGACACACACAGCTGCCCTACATCCTGAATGGATGTCATTCTCTCACATCTCTCAGTCCTGTTCGTCCTGTGTCCCTTCACACAAACAGACCCGCAATCCCTCTCTCTCCTTGTCATTTATCCTTTGTGCCCACGATCTTAATCGCTGGTCTCCATTTGACTCTGTACTCTTCCTGCCTTTGAGTTTCGGGGCTTCTGCGTCCTCCTACCTCCCTTTTTACTCCAAGTCCCATGACATCCCTTTTTATCCTGTCCTTGCTGCGACTCTGTCACTGTTTGCATCACACTCTGCAGGGCGCTGCCGTCAACATATGACTTTACCCCTCACAACGCAGCAGCAGCATAAGGGCGGATTCATAGGAATACATGTGCTCTATTTAGGAAGTACACAAACTCGTTTTAATCTTTTTCCACTTTTGTTTTCTCTGTCTTTGTCACTCAGGCTATACAGTCCCTGTTTCCTCGTTTGCCAGACTCAGGCAGGGGAACGTCCCTGTTTGATCGAGGGACCACGGCACCAGGGCCCGAAGGAGACAAGCTGAGACTGGACGCATTCCCCTTCCTCAGTTCAGGTGAGCTAATGGAAGGAGAAAACTGCTAGTGCAAAAACAGGATTCTTTCAGTATCCGAGAGACAAAGCCTTCTGCATGAGGAAAAATACAGCTTGTATAGAGGGTGTATGAGGCCTATAGGCTGTGTATACATAGAAAACAGACCTGCTTAAACAAGGGGAGGAAGAGAAGGTAGAGGGGAAAAGGAGAGCAGGGAGATGAATGAGGATATGGGGAGGCATGAACATTTATTGTTAAAGGAAATAAGAGAGATGGCTGTCCCATCGCAGCCCGCAGTGAGGCTGTGCTTCAGGTGAGAGAGGCCAGGTTAGCTTGTAAATTATGCATATCAGCGGTGGTAAGAAACAAGTTGAAGGCTGGTGAAATCTTCCACCTTTTTCAGCATGATTGTTCGCATTTTGTCCTCTTTTTTTTTCTTTTTCTCACCGTCAACAAATGGAGCGCTGATTTATGTTTGCTTGACGGTATACATAAATCTGCCTTTGTTTGTACGTCTGCACATGATATACGTGCATCAGAATGTGTACGAATGTGCAGAGCCAGAGAAGCAGTGTGTAAACAGATGTACTCACACACACACATGCACTCCTCATCACACAACCTGCCCCCCCGCCCCCCCTCCCCACTCTGTTTGTCCTCAGGTCCTATTCCCCCCTTCTTCCCTTCTCACCCTCCTCTCCCTCCCATGTGTCCCCGCTGTCCTAATCCCTTCCCAGGCAGGAAGGCCCTAATTGAGGGTGCAGGCTTCAGTTTGTGGCCTGTGGGCGCCCATTACTGTGTTTTCATAAGCAAGTGAGGCCTGCCTGACTGATTCAATATTCATGTGTCTGCCAGCTACTCCTGGCCCAGCACGCAGAGACTTCACCACTGTCAAATTAGCCCTGCATAGTAAATAACAGAGTGGAAGAGAGAGAGAGAGAGAGAGAGAGAGAGAGAGAGTGAGTAAGAGGTGGAGGGAGCAGCAGGGAGAAAGAATCTTTGAGTTGGTTGTCAGTTGGAAGGAAGTACAGTAGGTTGTGAGGCAATGCTTTTGTTTGTTCATTAAAATTGAATTCCAGCATCACCTCAAATTTACTCCCTTTTTCTGTTATCAACTGATGCTTACAAGGAACTGAATTTAAATACGGTGCAATATTTAATTTGCCACATCTTAAGGTTTTTGCGTAATCTGAAATGATACGGTGACATGTCAAAACATCGGGGGGTGAGGTGGCAGGAGTTTCCTCTCTGTCAGTCACTTAACCTCTGGAAGTACACAGACTCGGGTGTTGATGCATTCTTTATAATTTCTCGGCTAGATGTTTCAGCAAGGTGACTGTCACCACTGTGATGATGTGCAGCCAAACCAGAGGCGGCATGTCTCCGGATATTTCCCCTTTTAATACATAAAAATAGTTTGGAAGATGTAAACTCTGCTTGATTAGTTGTTTGATTTTTTGTTTTAGTTTTCACTGCAGTGTACAATCTTTGTGTTCACATCTGGTTTTCAGCACTATGAAGTACTACACAGTACTGGCATGCATAAATGAACCATCAGGTTTTTGTTGAAAGCAACCGCGCCAGAATTGGCCCCTGTGGCTTCTGATTAGAATTGCTAATATCGTTGAGCATAATTAGTGAACATTCTTGGATGTTGTATGTCAAGAAACCTTTGGCCCTTCTGAGAGCTAACCTCCATCTCTGGATTTTCTCTATCCTAGGTGCCCCGTGCTACTCCAAACCCCCGTCCCTGCTGGGCCCGTACCCGCGCAACCCACCCTTTGACTACCCCTGGGGCTTTAACCCCTACCTCCCAGGGGCCTTCTCTCTCAATAACTGCCCCAAACTGCCCCCTGGCTCCCTCTACCCCTCCCAGTTTTACCCCAACCCTTTGCAGAGCAGCCTTTCCCAGCTGCCTCACCCCTTCTCCTCCCTGCTCCCCCCAGGGGAGGCAGGTGCGGGTGAGAGGGGAGCAGCAGGGCAAACCGGAGGGACAAACGGCACGGCGGGTGGTCAGCCAGTCAGACTCTGCCTGCCACCCTACCCAGGGAGCCTGTCAATGGGTCGGACGGACATCGGGGCGTCATTGGGGGAAAGGGAAAGGGCGGAGGCCAATCCTCCAGGCACGGGGCTGAGTCTGGGGCTGGGAGCGGTCGGCCTGGCAGCCGGGACTGGCACAGGCCAGCAGAGCCCTACAGAGAGGAGAGGAGGGGTGAAGCAGGACCCAGAGTCAGACTCAGACCTGGAGATCACGGATCTGAGCGACTGCAGCTCGGACAACGAAAACGAGCATGAATTCAGCATCAGGAAGGAATCCAGCCTGGCGAACCGATCACAGATAGTGTTGGATGGAAAAAAAGGGAGCGTGCTGCCACCCATCTCCTCTCTCCCCCCAACAGTGTCCCCACATCCTCTGAAGAGCCTGATCCCCATCACTCCTCCACCCCAGTCCCTGCCTCCGTCACTTTCCCCCTCCATGGCTCTGCATGAAAGACACAGGGAGACAGAGACTCTCAAAATGATACACAGCTAATACATTCTCTCCTGCGTCCACCATCTTGCCCGTCTGTGCTCTGATAACTCTCTTTTTCTCTCCTTTCTTTTCTCTGAGACACTTTTATGCTTTAAATTGTCAACTCCCCCAATCAGTCTTGATAGATACTTTTTCGAGGAAAGGCAGTTATGTTCTTTGCTTCTAAAATTACTGTTTCCCTGTTTGCTGTGTACATTTTTAACTTGCCTACAGTCCATTACACTACCGACTTGTCCATTTTAGAATATATGAGGCGTACAGTTTTTAGGGTATCGGCTGTCTGTATCACCATCTTGTTCTTTCTGTTTTGATCTCTCACACCAAATGATCGCTCCATGGTTTCTAGACTTGTTTTACGCGTTGCCAGCAGTACTCTACAATTTGCTGTCTGCAGCCGAGCTATGATAGAAGGCAGTGAGGTGGTAAATTACAACACAGCAATGCCTGCCTTGACAAACATTAACAAACAACATCCCTATACTAACAGAACAGAACAACAAATAATGCTCAGATCGATCCAATTTTACAGATTTGTTCTGTAATTCTTGAGATTTGGACTGTATGTAATCACTATGACTTTAAGACATAGTCGAATACTGCCACCTAGTGGTCCTTTCAGTCAAGTCTCCTTCTATGAAATCATCTTATCTCCGTAATCCTGGGAGTAAAATTGTTGCCCCTAAGTTTCTTTTGCACTTACTTTTTACATGATATTGTTTCTTGCGGGTTAATTTAAATGTTAAAATCCATATTTCTAATAGTGTTAACTGTGATAGTCTGTGAATATTTATTTTGTCCTGTGGTTCAAGTTTTTCCTGCACATTTTCTTAAAAGGAAAGAAAAAGAGAGCAGAGGGAGCTGGACCAATCTAGAAATTTGTATGAATATTTCTGTGTATATATTTTATTATGGTGTACATTGCATTTAATTATTATTCACTATGATAAGATTTAGCTGTATTGTTGTGATTTAATTCAGTATTTAAACATGTTGGAAAAATTATAAGCTTAGGTGTATCAAAATTTAAATTATTAATGGCAGAAGATCTGCACTCTGAAGATGTTTTTCTATGATGAGGACAGAGTTCACACTGGGAATTGTCTCTGATTTTCTCAACCCCAATTAATTGTGCCCTTTGGTCATTTTTGCCAGATGCCCAATGTATAAACCCTTTGGGGTTCAAAAATATGCCGGTAGACTTATTTTTATAGTTAGCATTCACTCAGTGTAACTGTACTGTAATTAGTCTAATGTGAATAATATTGGTCTTTGCATTTTCTTTTTTTAAATCCTCCCCCTAAAATCTGTTTTGATTATTTTTCAATCAGTGCTTTTTGTCCATGCCAGCAGCAGGGCAATTAGGTTTGCTTGAGGACATTAAACAGTGGGGGAAAAAATATTCAAAAACTGTTTATCTTTGCTCTACCAGATCTAATGAAACGACATCCTTTCTCCAGTTTCTCAGCACAGAGTGAACACTAAACCATATTGTACAGCTTCATAGCCTTTATAGCCTATGGTTTGTCAAACAGTGGCGGTATACGATTAGTTGTGAAAGCTCTATTGTAAAGTTAATGTAAAGCTCTATGTTTGTTGAGTTGCTACAGGAAAGGCCTCCAGTCACCTCCATGTGGAGTACACTCACTAACAGCTGTAAATACTGTTTCCTTTGTGTGTGTATGTGTGTGTACACATCCAAAAATGACAATGCAGTGGTTTTACCTGTCATCTCTCTTTGTTTTACTGTAAAGAGGAAAAATGGAAAGTGCAAAAAAGAAGAAAAAGATTAATATCTTCAAAAGCAATAAACATTATTCTGGATAGTGAACTGTTGTTGACTGTGAGTTTGTTTAATGGATTTATTTTGTGACACGGAGCAACATAACGTGAGATTCTTCTGTCGAATTTCTATCGTAATGTTTTAAATTCCGGTTTTCCACCACATTTTCTTTTGATACATTATTTGTTAACAAACCTTAATAGAACAGACGTAGTCTGTTGGACACCACAGTATATTTAATTATTCAGAATTAAACTACATTTTTCTATCTGATCACTTATATCTCCTGTAGTTAGTAAATTGTAATATAAATAATTAATATGTGATCACTGATATCTGCCAAATTTAAATATTGGGTACTGAGTCTGAGTTTAGTTTTGACAATAAAAAAAACAAAGTTATTAAAAACTGCACTGACACAAATACTGATATAATTCTAGAGTAGTGTGTGAAGAAATGAAGCAATCATAGCAATCAATTGATACAGATTTCTATTAAAACAGTCCATATTTTTGACCTTGTTTAATTAGATTAACACAAGTATTAATTGAATAATCAGAGAATGGCTGATAAAAAGTAATACATAGAAGGTGTTTTACAAATTGCTCCTTATTTGGTGTGTTATTGTTTTTTCTGTTTTTCTTTCACTCCTGATGCAACAGTTTGATGAATACATGCACTTTTCTTTTTACATAACGATGATGATGATCGTATAGATAATGATGATAGTTATATATATAATAATAACAACAAGGATATATATAGACAACCATTCAGATAAACACACATTCCAATACAAAAACACTGACTGTAGATGTGTATTTTTGGGCTTGTTTTATTTTATTATAAGCCAATGCCATAGCTACAATTAATGGTAGAAACCGCAGTTTATTAAGCACATGTGTGATAAATTTAGACATAAAACAGTCAGAACAGTATCTTTTTCTTTGCCACCTCTGACATCTGCAAATTTCTTACCACCAATCATGAAATGACTGGTTTTGAATGTGTATCCAAGGTGTGAGACAACACCTACAGAAGTCTGGTAAGTCATATCCTGAGTGAGGAAGGCGTCCTTTAAAACCTTACACCCACAACAGACACTTCTCTGCAGTGTCTGAACATACATACTGTAGAGGGCACTACCAAGAAACGTTTGTACATGACCTTATGAGCTCAACTATCACATCAATAATCTTAAATCACCATGCAGCTGCCACTCAAACTGTATGACAACTAGATTTGATCAAGGTTATGACCATGGTGCTAACAATGAGGGGTAAATGAAGAGGAAAGCACAAAGAGAGTCTAGCAGGAAGTGACAAGGTCATCATTATATTGCAGTTACTTGTTAGCGTCAGTGTGACGGTGCCATGAACATTCAGACACACCCACACGTTTCACTACTTAAATAGTGATTAATACAAACTCTGTGTTTGATTATGTTTGTTATACGTCTGCCATAGTACCAGTTAGAAAGGTAGAAGGTCACTAAATGTGCCAACAACTGGAAACACAGAGCATTCCCGTCCTCTGTAAACCATAGACTCTAATCTCCGGTCAGAGTCCTTACCGCCTTCCTCGGTTTAAACTGGGAGATAACAGAATAAATTGCACAGTACTGTGTCAACCTGTAATGCAAAAAAACTATAAAATGGACATAAGCAGACTTTATTTAGGACCAACATGGAGAATAAACCTCTACACTATCAGATTATGATGATAATTATGTGATATCAAACAGAGGTGAGATTGTTTTGCTGTTTCCAAGGTCAAGAATGAACTTTAATCTCAATTGTCACATTAAAACCTTAAGGATTTACTAAAAACAGATGATGTAGTTTCATGTAGAACAGACAGTGGTCATACTAGTCTGAGTCCAGGTCAAATCTGAAATTGTATAACTGCAGATGGGAAGGGATCAGCTCCTGTCTATGTTTCTCCATAAGGTGGCGCAAGGAGGCCAAAATCCAAGCGACCAAACAGGGAGTAAAGTTTGATCTAAGCAATGAACTCTGCAAACAGTTGCTCTGATTTCACGACAGACAAATGTTCTTTATGTCGCTTTAAACATCTGTCATCTGTTCAGACCGGCTCCACAGTAGTGTGTGCAATTTATGTCTATCAGCAGATCAGCTGTGGAAAAACATAAAAGTGGAATCACTTGTGCTCAATACAGTAGATATTGCACGTTTGGGAGCAAATAAGAGACTAATGTATAAAATAAATGTACTTTTCGGTTTGCTGCAGGAGTATTAGTAATAGTTATTCTGGTGATAAAGACATAAATCAGCTTTTGGCTTCCCAGTGGGAAATAAGCTAATAATTATCAAAGAATCAGTAAAATGTTGGATAAAACGGAGATATTTGATACTTTTAAAATAAATATACAAACAATGTAAAAGCGTAAATATGCCGCGTATAAAACTCCTTGTGTTCAGTGCAGCAGAGTGAGGACTCAATGGGGACGAGTTAGTGTGTAACACAGTGCGGAAACAACCCGTTTAAACTTTTTCTCCTTTTTTTTTTTTTTTTTTAATTGACAGGCGAGCTGTAAAACACACATAAGCAGCCATCAGCACCACAACCCGGTTTTATGTATCACCGGACACTTTGTGTTTGATTATTCTTTAAACGTCAAATCTTTACTCTTTTTTTTTTTATTCTCTTATCGACCCTGAGAGTTTTTTTTTTTTTTTTTTTTCTCTCGGTGGATGTGTACTTCCGCGTACAATGTTTTTTTCCCACTGACACACGACAACTTTCGAACAGGAAACCTATTAGACGCTTCGACTGTCGTTTTCTCTTGTATTTGCGGGTGAGTATATTATTTTAACGCCATACACGCAGACCAACATTACAAACAGCTTTAACATTTAATGTCTCCGTGCTGTAAATTTAAAGTCGTCATGGATATTTGTTTTACCGAGAGAGCGAGAGAGCGAGAGAGAGCCCCCCCTCCTCCGCCTCCTCCTCCTCCTCCTATTAGCTGCAGACGGTTTGGTCCACATACAGGAATGCTGTGCTCGGCTTTGCTGTGCACTACATATCTCTCTGGATACGAAAAGAGCTGATAGCGATTTTATTCTGCAGTTTAATTAATGAATGTAGCACTGGGGACAAAAGTTGCCTTTTATTCTGAAAATTTGGGAGTCTGCGTGAGAAGCGTGGAAGTTGCAGTTTTGCGGGTAACTTCAGGTAGTTGGACCGTGTGTGTTTTCTGGAAAAGCCGTCTAGGTTTCTGTTTTTTTTTTTGTGTGTGTTTTTTTTTTTTTTTTTTTACGACTAGAGTTGTTTTAGGTCTGATCCCAAAGTGCAAATCACTTTAATATTCTCAAAGGGAGTTATGCTGTGTCATTTGTAGTCAGTGGGGAGTTTATAGCTGGTGACCTTGTGAAATTTTATGTATTATTATCTCCCTTGCAAGAGTATCCGTCTGACATTAATCATAGGAGTGCTGTGGAGGTTTCTCATAAAGAAATACAGCTATAGAATATGAACCTGCTTGTGTTTTATCCCCCCCCTCTCTCTCTTTGTCCAAGGACTCTCTGTGCTGTGATTATAGAGACTTAGGTAATCAGTGCCGGATCAAGCTTTTCTCTTTCCCTCTTATTTAATTGTCAACATTGTTTTTGTGTAACTTGAAGGGAGGCTACAAACCTGCTGCTACAGACATGTGTCCCTCCCAGTTTCACCCCCCCCCCCTCTCTTCCTATACCTCTCACTCATCTGACCAGCCCATATAGAGAGAGAGAGTGTGTGTGTGTGTGTGTGTGTGTGTGGGGGGGGGGGGTGTCCAGTGCAGACAGTGTTCAGTAATTAGTGTCTGCATATAATTGATTACCCATGATGATTTTTGCCTTGTGAAGCAGAGGACATTGCCTGCGCTGCACAGGCGAGGGTTTCCTGCGCTCACAGGAAACTGCAATTACTGTACATCTAGTGCAGCTTCATTATCTCACTGCAGTCATTAACTAAAGATACAGGGCTGGAACAGTGTGGGTTGTGCTCGCCAGCAAGCCGTTAAGTTTTCATTAATCACTCCTCAAAGAACAACGTTTGTTTGTTTTTTAGCAAAGTTGCCAGGCCAGTTTGTCTTATTTGTGCCTCTATCACTTTTGTTCCTCGAGGGGGGTTTAGTCTGCAAGCATGAGCTCCGTCAAGGCAAACTCATTTCTCCAGTGAATGTTAATAACGATTACATTTGCTCATTATTAATAGAGGGTGCCGTGTGTGTGTTAAGGGCGTTGCAGCTGGCGGTTTTTGTGACGTGTTCCACAGCCAGCCGCTGCACCCCAGAGGCCCCATGTGAAGCGGGCCCTGCCACTTCCTGTTACGCTCTGCTAGACTAGAGGAGCAATGCACTTGTCATCTCTCTCTCTCCCCACGTTTTTACAAGTGCTGGCTTGTCTGGAGCCCAAAGGCTACCTTCTCTTCCTTTTAAAGGAATGTTGGCTATAATCTGAGTTGCTGTGCTGCTCTCTCCCTCCCTGTCTCTCACTCTGTCTATTGTCATAGCCCTTCGTAAACTCACCCACATCCCCTGAATCTCAGAAGGTAGGAAGATAAAGTCGGTTAGGGCTACGGCGAGGCGAGGCGTAACCGTCATTGTTAGCCTCTGTGAGAGATACCCGACAACTGGAATGACAGGTAATGGCACCCACGGTGGAACAGCCAGGGGGTGTCCTAAGGGCCTGGAGCTGAGTTGCGGGCAAGCTAATAATTTACTGTAGTCAGGCTCGTACTTCAAAGGAAACACAGGTATTCTTCTCTGGCTGCAGTTAGATTGACGCACAGGCAGCAGATAATGAGAGACAGAGCGGACTGGGCAGCTCTTCTTCTCTCTACGTGGGTCAGCAGTGAAATCTACTGATTCCTCCTGAATGAGCGCAGTGGGATGAAGTTACAAGTACGTTATAAGTGTGTGTGTAAGGACATAGGAAGGTGGTTAAGCTGCACTACATCTATGATACATTTAAAACCCCAGCCAATGTCATCACTGAGCAAGGTGACACACTGTGTGTTTCTGCACTTGTCTGTATGGATCA